TTTTGCTCGGATCCCACGGGTTCGGGCGAATATGTCTGGTTGGGTTGGTAAATATGATGATTCATTAAGGGTTATTGAGTATTTAACTGTTTTTTAATTAAAAAAAAAAATCAAAACAAAAATCAGTTTTAAGATTAGAGTCTTTTGGAATAAAAATGTGAAGTTTGGGGCTTCTGAGGTTACAATCCAAAATTTTGGGGTCTTGGATATTTTCAATACCCTTATACCAAAAGGCCAAAATCACGGAATCTTTAGTTGAGCAAAACCTAACATACTAGAATTAGTTGACCATAATCATTAGTCTTCTCATCTGATTTCAAACTTAACGTCAATAGAGTAGAAGGGTCGAAATAAGTTCATACATGATCTCTCTTGATTCATCATTCAAAAGCTAAAAGGCATAACATCCCCAATAAAACCACCCATGAGGGGCATTACATGAAACTTGGGCAAACCGGGCCCTTTGAGATGCCAAGACGAACTTCCATCCCGTGGTGGAAGTCTACCGGCTTGAATGTCTCCGAGTCACGAGGATCTGCAAGGGATGAACAAACGAGTTTCAGATGACCAATTTCAAATGTAAAACCAAAAGCAGCCTGGACCCTTTTTTGTTACGTAATCTCGCTAATTGCTCTCAAGAACAGCATAAATATGAGCTGTAAAACAGATGACAATTACCATTCAAGTAATCCTCAAAACCAAAGGCATCCACGGCTCCTGTGTAGACTTCTAAACCGAGCATTGACGATGGAATTGGTCCAGGAGGTCTCTGAAACCTAAATATTCCAGAGAGAAAAAAAGGATAAAATCAGAAAAGTACAACAAAATGCTGTTTTACAAAGTGCTATTAACCACCACCAGCTCATGCAGCAATCACTTAAACCCTATGATGCTCCCCAATGCAAACATAGACACTTTTAAGTTTAAACCAAGTACGGCCAAAGAACTTAGATACTAGTAAGTACATAGATTCTACCAGTAATGCACACAATTATCATATTGCCAATGAAAACCTGAATAAATGGGACCTATAAAAGTGTGTGCATCTTATTTAACACCATCCACTAGCTTCCCAATGCATTGATTCATACATAACAATTAACTTCATGAACAAACTCGAAATTAACCGTATTACAAATTACCATCTGATCTAGTCATACATGGCAGCTCGAGACACCATATATCAATCTAACCGCGTTTCATTACCAACTAGTATTTTCAGATTTGTACTGCAATTACAACACACATACCGTGAGAGAATTTGTCTGTCCATATCCATCTTCAATGGAAGTGCAGCACCGTAGGTATGCGCAATGATCGTCCTCTTCTTCGCCTCTTTCGATTTCTTTTCCTGAAACCGAAAAAAAAAAAGGTAATTGAATGATCAAGAGAGAGGTATGTAGCAGGTAAAACCCTAGTTTTTTTAGCAATTGAGACATCTAGTAAGATTGAAACCCAAATTGCTACTCAAGTGTTTCGAACATAACCCAAATAGCGAACACGAAGAAGAAATAATCAACTAATCTGACGATAGAAGTAACGCAGAATGCTAATCATACACACTTAAGCTCCTTTCTTAAGCTAATTCCCCACTTCCTCTTCTTTTTTTTTCTCACTACACTTTCCCGAGAAACAAACAGACTCAATCGGTAATCAAAACAGAACCAATATCAACCCAGAAAATAACCCGATCGGTGATAGCTTACAGATTCGTAAGACGATTCGAGTGGGTGAGATCCGACGATGTCGCTCTTAACTCCGTGAAGGCCAAACCTAAGAGCGTCGTTCTTGAGACCACCGATCTCATGAGCTATCTTCTTCGGAGACTCCATTTTTACTCCTCTTCTTTCTCCTTGTGTGTTTGGCTCTTGCTTCTCTTCTTCTTCGAGCTTCCTTAGCTTCCTCTCTGCGACTTTTGGGACAAGAAAAGTAAGAGACGAAGCCTAATAATGGGCTCTCTCTCTTGAGTAAGTCCAATAGTAAAGGCCCATTCATATTATAATTTGGCCCGTTTAGATTGGCTTAAGATTTACAGATCCTCTTGTGTACTGTATATATAAAATTATAAATATTTTTTTTTTTCTGCTCGATCTGATTTTTGCGCAAACCTGTGGTGAAAACTGAAAACGTCTTCTTTAATAAAAAAAAAAAAAAAGAGAATTGTGA